CTAGCCCTACTGGGACTTTCTACCGTTTATTTGAAGATCTCCTATCGAACGCATGCCTATTGGCCGTTAGACACGATTCGCGGCAAGCTCGTCGCGCACTCCTCCGCGAGAACTTCAACTCGTCTCATCGGCCCACCACGTTCCAGGCGCTCGGAACTCGGAACATCCCCAGTCCCTACTTCCCTCATACCGCGCATGATCCTTACTGCATTCGAAAAACAATAAATGGGAGGACGAGAAGTACATATGGAAAAATACTAACGGCCCGCTGCGGGGGAGATTTATTGCTAGCTCGCCGGCTCGAGACAGCACCGCGCTTCCCGCGGCGCCACCCCGACATACTATCTGAATGTATTTCGAAGGGTACCGAATCCGAGAGTTGACGGCTCTATTTTCTGGCTCTTATTCAGCAAGTTCTGGAACCGGTTTCGGGATACCGGGCCCTCACCAATGGTCCCCTAAAAAATTGGCCTCGAAATTAATTCAGTGACTTTGGCACTACCCTCGTCAGGACCCGGATGGGAGAGACAACGCATGATCTCGAGGCAATCGGTCGCCACAAGTACTGGTAGCCGTCGACGAAGTATTGGATTGCTTGCTCCTATGAGCAGGAAGTCACGTGTCATGTTGCCCGTGAGAGCGATCTGTTTGTATGCATCCAATGTTGATCGACCTTTCGTATCAGGCGCGGAATTCGGCACATCGTTGTTTGTTCTTCAAGATTCTTTCTGTACTCCTTACTCCGGAAGCATTGTTCGCTCCTCCGTGGAGTCCGAGTCAGCACAGGAGTTCTTCCCCCTTTTATCGATGTCGTCGCGTTCGAAGATGATGTCGTCCATGGTCACCTCGTAGATGCTTAACCTGGAACAGAATTTGTCGGTTCCGAGCTACTCATGAGCGTGGCGAGCGAGCGACTCTGTTCCTGTCTTCCCGAGCTGCGAAGCTCTGTCTTCGGCTCCGCGTGTCGGTTTCGACTGTTTTTGGGAATTCTCTGGCGCGGAAGGAGGGAGCGCCCCTGCTTCGCCAACTTGAAGCCAAAAGGAATGACAGCTCCTAGGGCGAGGGCTGGGGCGACAGAGTATGTCGGCCTCCTCTGCACTGCTTTGACTGAGTGAGCATGAATGCGCCTGTGTGTGAGCTGGCGCTGGAAATGGTTCAAGTTTATCACTCCGAGGTTCCACTCATACTGCTTTATCCACCAGAACACAGCCGTTTAAACTTACGATTGGAAGGCCGCGCCGCACGTCCTCCCGACGCCACGACTTGACACTCGTGTGCTTCAGTGTGCGACGCGCGGCTTCGAGATCTTCGCTTCGATTGAGTCGTAGAAAAGTAATTTTCCATGAAGGAAATGCCCTCAGTTGTTACTGTCTCTCCTGAGCATTAATGAGTTTGATACTGCTACCTGGTTTCGTGATTAGTCGACGAGAATCGCAGGACAACCGGTTCCGGTGTACATATAACCAGGGATCATGGAAGAGCGATCGGCTATGATCTACGGGAATAGCTCATCAGTGCGGATGCACGGAAGAACTTATCTCCATCCTCTCCATCTTCAGGCTGGTCTTGAACGGGTGCTTCTAGGTAGTTCTATCTCTCGAAACTCCGCCACATTTCGAGAAAACTAGAGTTTCGAGACTCTCGTTCTCATTGAAGCGTCAGGATTCAGGGTCCTGCACGCTCGAGACGTTCATAGCCGATGCTGTCATTCAGAGGGGAATCACCCTATCTCGAGCCGTATCTGGCCCAATTATTCCGCTTGGCGCCGCAGATCAAACTCGTGAGATTCATCCGGAAGAGTTCCCGTTTCTGAGCTGGTATCACTAAGTAGGTATGTGTCTGATCTCTCGCAAAGTCAAGGCACTTCAGAGAGGGGCGCTTCACTAGGACCGAAGAGGCTTCTACTCTGAAAGTCTGGTGCGGCGATACAGACTCGGTGTCTCCGCCGTTACGGAATACTGCTCGAAGTGGGCATCGGTATGCCGGAGCCCATCCGCGAATGCCTTATCTCTCTTCGATAGCCCGTGATGCTCGATTCGATAGGTGTTCGCAACGCAGCATGAGCGCCGATTCGTCGGGGGAGCGTGAATCGTCTGAGAGATGCGACTCACACTTGGCTCCCATTCATGCGCTGCGCGATTGCGCTCCACCCGAGAGCTGTTGTATCGGGGGCGGGGCGCGCTCAGAACTTCCGGTCGGAAAGGGGGTGATGCAAAATGGGTTTGAGTGGGAGGACATCGGTCGAAAATGATGACGCCCATCGTAACCCATGGACCAGCACTACGGCCTGAAGCTGCGGAGGGGACCTCTTGCCCCATACGCCCCTTCTCTCGGAGACATGAGGGAAAGCCATCAATGCCGGAACCTGACCAAGATTCTTTGAGACATGCACAGGAACAAGCGAAAATCGGTCGAACGTCGTCCGAAACGCTTCAAGATGAGCAGTTGGATGCTCTCCGGAGCAAAAAAACACGCAGTCCATGATTTTCGTCTCCGATAATTCCTTAGATATATATTTATTCTTTAGATATATTTTTTACAATTACAGTAGTTGTAGACACGCCATGGCACACTGTAGTAATTATTCGTATATTTTTCATAGCATCGCTACAGGGGCGCTAGACGTTTCCGACATCAATTCGAACGAAGACGGAGTAAGTATATCTAAATCAGCCCCGCCATACGATCGAAGTCGGAAAATTTTTTAAATCCTAGTTATCATGTCGAGCATTCGCCGCGGAGCCCATGAATCACTTGCTGGCAATGTTCTCATTGATTATCGCGGTGGACGTGGTGGAGTTGGTTCTAGCGCGGGAGAAGAAGAAGCGTCAGAAATATCGGCCGTCATACTGATAATGATGCTTGTAGTGGTTAGCAGCAGCATTCATACGGATAGCCATTCTAATGGTGGCGGCAGTTGTAATGGATCTAATTATAGTGAGAGCGCGCGACAAGAACCAATAAGAGGACACAGAACTGAATCATATCAACGTTGTTGTAGTTGTTGTTGCTGCATGGGATTATCACTATTGCTCAGCGCGAATCCGACGCGAGATCGACAACGACAGCATTTACACAATTCCTTCGAGACGTCCGCCTCCCACAGCAGGGCTCACATGAGTCCCAAACGCGACATCGCTGCTGGGTAGCTCTTTCATTCTCCCCGAGTGGGAAATCGTCAGCGATCTCGACTGGTGATTATGTTGGCGACCGGGTGCCAAGCAGAAACACTGGATGTCCAACAGTAGGATCGTTCCAGTTTCCCCGACCCTTCCCGGGTCTTCCTGCGCTGGAATCGAAATTCCGATCGAATGCTTCAACTAGCAGGAGATATTTTATACTTCGAATCGTTTCGGGGGAACTCTCGCTCCAGATTAGGATCGCGCTTGCTTTGTACAATTACCATGTGCAAGACTCCTCGCCCGAAAATCTCCTTTCGATGTCATCATCAGTCGACTTCCGGAAAAAGAGGATCAAGATGTGCGATTTGATAGAATGATTATTCCGATTGCTACTATGCATAAAGGGATGAGCCGGTTCAGCGACTGGGACGCCTTGTCTCTTTGACGTAAACACGAACGGAACGACAATTCCCTCGAACATAGAGCTGAGAGGTGGATGCGACTGACGGGGACTCAACTCGCGAGAGGAACGTAAGGGAAGCATAATAGCTCATATCGATAGCACCCACATCATTCGATCCACCACGGAGCGACCGCGGATTCTCACTCGGATAACCCTCTCGGATCATCCTCATATCGATGAAACTTCCGGCCTCGTGAACATGTCCGAGCCCAGGGCCAGCAGAGCAGTAAGAATCAACCCACAAGCAGCCTCTGATGCTCTCTGGATTCTCGAATCACCGAAGATCTGATCTGGATTTGCGATCAGCGGATTCGTTGTGAAAATGCCGCTCCCTTACGATCGCAGACGGCGGGTCCGATCCGGAAACTCGGAATCTTCCACGGAGTCCACCCGAATCTGACTCCTGCCCCTCAGATTACGATCGCGATACCCTTTCGTCTCCAGGCTCAATAATTCAATGAGCTGGTCCATTGCAAGCTGATCGAAGACACCCTATCCCATTCCTTCAGCTGAGAATGAACCCCCGTCGTAAGAGCTCGCGGCCAGGAGGGAATAGGCATCAATCATGCGAATGGTGCTCGAACGATGAGGCGAATGATCGTACAATTAGCCCCAAAAGGAACTTCGGTTTCTCGTGACGACCAATCCCACACAAAACTTGAGATCGTTTGTTATTGCTTAGACGGACGATTCTCAATATCATCCCGTCTATCGATCCCCGCAATCGTCGAGGGAGAGGTTATTCTGAATCACGTTGATTTTCCCTCGAAGTATTCTGCTTCGGAGATTCTCCAGGGTAAGGGCTCCTGCGCGCGAACGATTTTGATTACGCTCGAATCGTACGCTCAGCGAATCATCCGCGCCGTATCTCAACGATTCGAGGAATCGTTAGGTCGGATCCGAACTTCTACCCAGCGCTGTGGGAGTGGAGGGAAAACCATGACGTTGATGATGAAATTATTATCAACGACCACAACGTCCATGCCGGCAACAACAACAACAACAACAGCAGCAGCTGAGGCGTGGATATTGCAGAGGAATTTTGAACATCTGACTTCCTTCGGAGCTCGATAATATCGCGTCTGCCGATGGTCTCTCTAAATCATCAGGGGCTCCGATTTCCGGGATGTCAGAGATAGATTGCGCAGAGAGATGTAGGAAGGACGCGCCCATGTGCGGCCTTCGACTCACCCTCTCAGGCAGCACGAATGAACGGCAGGGCGCGTACGCAAGCGAAAGGATGCGTTAGTGGCAGGGGAGCGTGAAGATTGAATGCTGAATTGGCTTTCTGTCGGCGGCGATCCATTGAAGACGAGCAGTCAGACGGCCAGAAAAGCGAGCGGCAGGCAGAAATGTACGCTATTTTCTGACGCGCTTTCACGCAGAACGACAAACGATAGCAGCAGGTTCTTGCTTCACATCCTTACGCAGCTGGTTTCATCGTCATCGTCATCATCGTCCTCGGAGCTCTCCTCCTCGCCCGGCGAACCGCCTTCGCTGTGACGTTCCGCATTGCCGTTGCCACTCACAGCAGACATTGGCAAACACGAATCAAAAACAAATGTATCGCGGCTTTATCAGGGAACTCCTTCGCTTTGCACGCTCTGTCTAATTGACTCTTGTTCAAGATGAGAACTCGATACCGGGCGGGATCCCTCGAGCAAATGTCTTGGAGAGAACCTAGCTCGCTGCAGCCACCTCCAGGACTCTCGCTGTTCCCTCCGGTGATGATCACACCGTTTCCGTCTGTCGTCGGTAGTGATGCTCCGGAATCTTGCGTGCAGTTTGTTAAATGACAGTCTTCCGCTTTATCCGTGGAGTGGTTCTGGCGGCCTATGAAGAATGTGTTGAAGCAAACTCCACAGATTTTCTCCTGCGAGCGGAATTGATTCCCGTTAGGATTATTTCACATCGAAAACGAGAATTCCAGCTGGATGAAATGGCTGAAGCTGTTGAGGCTAGTGGCGGGACTCACTCCAACACTCACTTTTACACCGGGAAAAATTCTGCTCAGATGGAACTCGATATGAACGTCCCCAGCGACTTCGATGGGTTCACTGGCAATATATTCCCATTGTGATCCCTTGTTGCGGAGATCCCCCATGTTGACAGTCTTCTTCCGATCTGCAGAAGACACATGTAGAATGAGAAACCTGGCGATCCGGTATCTTGCGGAGCATTATCTCCGGTTCGCGGATTCTCCAATCGATTGCCGTCTGGGACCACTCACTGTTTCCGAAGTAGACCGTGAAAACTGCTGATCCATTTATGGCGTTGAAAGGGATATTCTCGAAAAATATGCCTTTTAGTAACAAACGGGTTTTCTCATATTGGAGAGATAGGTTCTTCATTTTCGCGTAATACTCCACGTAACGGCGCTGTGACGGTATTGTCACACCCTGTCGAAAATTGAAGTTAGAGCGTCGCTCGACTCTTTTACGGACATGGCTCCAAGAAGATCTCGGTATCACGTCAAAGATCATTCGCGCAAGCAACGATGACGGACTGAGCCACAAACCTTTTCATCAACAGTTCGAACTTTCCCATAATGTTGTAGGGCTTCTTCCGCAGTTTTGAAACGGCCGCAATGAAGTAGGTAGCAACATATCATAACACCCGTTCGACCTAAGATTCGGGAAAACGAGGAGGAATGCGAGAATGTTTTAACCCCGAAACGGAACAGCTGAATATGACATGGCTTGGTGCAGATGCCCTCAGCGTGAGCATTTCTGTATCATCTAATCGAAGACAGGACTCTCTGCCAGGGACCATCAACGACGGTGGCCGTCCCAGCTTCCGAGCTTCCCAGCGCGCGTTATCCGAGAGATTTCTTATCAGCGGCGTCAGGGCACCGATACTCAATTGTCCATAAGCCCGGCCATAAGATGCGGGGGTATACGTCCGGTGAGAGCTCCCGTGTTCCGAGAAACGCGGAAAATGGGGAATTCGAAATAGAGTCCGCATGGACATTCGAGCACTCCTTACTCGATGAACTAGTATCAGGGTATTGTAAGATGATCTCATTTCCGAGAGAGTCTCGGAGCATCTCGGACGGGTTTCGGAGGCGAACTTCTCGGTGGGTCGTCGGGGGACCCACCCGGCACACCGAGTTTTGGCAATTAGATCCGTTAAACGCTCATCGAGATCGCCCGACCGAATCTCGCATCTGCCGCTGAATAATTCCGAGTCATATTGCAGGCTCGTACAGCGAAGAAAATGTCAACGCCACCTGCACCGGATGCGTGCAACGACCACGGGTACATTCGAGATACTTGTGATCACAATCAGCGGAATCTCTGTCCTTGATGAAATTATCACGGTCTGCTAGTCCACGGAGTGGACAGAAAACGGAACTCTTTAGCTTCCGGGCGGAAGTTTTCTGGGACCGCTTCTCGAGACTGATCGACACTTTGTAAGAGAAGCCTGATTCGTTCAGACAAATTCGCTGAGGGAGCAAGGCCGAAGAAATTCGGTCACAAGGCTCTGGCCGTATGGGCTCTAGAAATTCATTTATCTGGATTCAGGGTATAAGAATCCGGTCATACGAGCGGTGCCTTGAATGATCGTTCCCCTCGTCTTCCCTGATATCAGGTTTATTCGTCGACCTGATCACTAGCTGAAGAGGATGACTGACCTTTCCCAGCTTTACAATGAACAGCTACGACATGGTTCGGATCCTTTGAAAGCCAATCCTGAACATCCAGACAAAACGGTTCAATTTTTTCCAGAGGCGGGGGCGCGTGATCCTCGAATGCGAAGTCTTCACAGACCTGTATAATGGAGAGACTTCGATGAACATCAAAATCGAAGTGCGCACCCCCGAGAGGGCCGTCTTCGGTCGCTAATACCTTATACAGCAAAAATCGATGATTGATGACGCTTACATTTCCAGTGAATTTGTCCTTGTGATAATTATTTCTCTGCCTTTCTTTGCAGAGATTGTAAATCTTGTAATGATCCCGATGCTTCTCGTTGAGAAACTTGGCTACCTGATCGAGTTGGTTGCGATACATCGATTCGAACTTCTCCGCCGGATAACCCATCGCTATAATTGTCGGCTCGATGTAGGACAGATCCAAGTTGTAACCGTCGCATTTGTAGCGCCTCTTATTGCGCGACACGGCAGCCCGGAGATGGTCAGCCATGTTCAACGAGAACAACAACAATAACAAGGAGAAAACTACAAACAAAGGAGGAGATGGCGAAGTCTTCTCCCAGAGAGGTTCGGACACCCCTTCAGCGAACTCCTTCATACGTCTTCATGTCTAATCACCTGCAAAGGGGGCACGTTCGTACATCAGGTTTCGTCCCATGGATAAGTCGAGCATAGTTGGATGCTTCAGGATGCACAGCAGTAGCCGATAATTGATCACTGATCGCTCTCCAGGTTAGTCGGTTCGATCACCATGGCCAAATCCGGATGCGTGAAGCCCTTGGCAGCCATCTTCGGGAGGGGGGAGGCTAATTATTGTTATAATTTCCGAGGTCTGATCCGTTCGCATGAAGAGGAGCGGCCACGAAATCAAGAAGATGATCGGAAGAGCTCTTGGTCTCCATGATCAGTTGTAAGACCTAACTCGACGCGGCGAAGGGCAGTGAGTAGTGATCGTATATTTTTCATTTCCCACGGGAGACAACGGGAGGACTCGCAACAAGGCCGCTGGTTAGCTCGAGCATCCGAACGGCGTAACAAGCTAACCCTTTGTCCGCAATTGCTATGCATAGAGAAGGTCCGGTCTAAGAGCCCCTCAGATGCTCGAGTGGGTCTCTTCCTGTAGAATCGATGAATGGGGGAATACCTCGAGGAAGTCATCTGGATTCCCCGGATCTTTTCACAATCGTTCGCCGTCACAGCTTCCACAATCAAGAAGGCGACTCATAGAGAGATCAATGCTCTGACTAGTCTGTCTTCTAGCTCAACGAGCCGTTCCGAGAACTTCGGTCGCTAGACAGGAAGGTCCTGCTCGCGCAACCGAGGAGTAGTGTGAAGTGGGCTCGCCTGCTCGCCAAGGGCTGCTTGATTGATTGATTGATTGATTGCCTGGGCACGCAAGGACTGCTGCTCGAGTATCTCAGCCGACTTGACCATTCGTTCCGATTTGGTAAGAGAGAACTCACTTCAGTCTTCGGCACACATTCGACTTTCGATGCTTCCAGTGTCGGGAGCTTCCGCTGACCACAACATAGTGTTCGAGTGGCTGATGGACTAGGAGAAGCCGCCTCTGGGGCTTGAACTCGGCAACTTATTATGTCTGTCCGCTCACGATCGCATCACTAGGCCACTGAGCAAGTAGCAGCGGCAGCAGCTTCCAGTAGGCACTAGAAATCGAAACGGACTAACGAATGAGCCGCAGGTGAAGAGGCACCAGTTGGTGCTTGGACTTCGGAGCCTGCTTGCGAGCTTCCGCGTCGGCTCTCCGTAGATGCTTGCCCACGTCCACGGGGCTCACGATTCCATTTCTGTCCGTACACGAGAGAGTCAACTTGCTTACATGATGCAGGCGAGAAGATTTCTCGAAACCGGAGTCTGTTTACGGAATAGTGTGAAGTCGGAGATATCGATGATCTTTGCTGGAAGCTCGAGCGGGCTCGGGCTGTCTCTTGCACTCCTCGGTCTCGAGGACAGTGGGTTCCCGCATTACGAGGAACTATCTACATCTATCCTTTGAGTTACAAACCCATTCGCAAGACTAATCATGCTCCTTGTCCCAATCCTCGTTCCCCCCGCTTGCGCTGATCATAACTGTTAGGCCAGAACACGCTGGAGCTCACAAGCTGCGTCTTCATATTCGGAAGTCTACTGTTGTGTTCTCTTCGAGGTTTTTCAGAGCCTTCCGAAGCCTCAAGCCAATGTGGCATGCAGATAGGCATGGAATATTTGTGCAGAAACTTCCGTCAGGGCCGGTAATGGCTTTGTAAAGGGCCAATGCGGGTTGCGGGATCTGGGATCGACGGTGTTCGAAATCGTGGTGCAGTGGAGAAATTTAGCTCGTCGCACCGGAACCTCGCTGTAATGGGGGTCAATCTGCGGTGTCTCTGCCGAACCCAAACCAAAGAGGCTCCTCAGGAGCATCTCTAATCCCTTGGGTTCATTGAAGACCATCGACTTAAGGGCCTGAGCCCGGACCCAGACTGATCACGTTTATTATTGTAGATGGCGCTTTGACTTCCGCGGAAACGCGGTATATTTGAATCTGTAACAACTTACCCCATTCCTGGTCAACGTTTGCGAATCTCGGATCTTTGCTGCGCCGACGGATCTGTTCGAAATGTCGTTTCCAAGCACCATTTGGAGCTTTCACTTCACAGATACGGGAGCCGCAATTCTTCGCCATTCTTCGGTGGACCCACTTCGGTCCCTACGTTTGGTAGTTCCGAGCCATCAGCATCTGTGATGTTACAAGGGACTGATATTTCCCTTACTCCAGGTTCCAGGTCCCCTTGTGACGAGGTTCTGCTATACCACGCCTTGACCTGGGGTGTTCAGGGGACATTGGGTGCGAATCACAAAGAAACGGTCTCGACCTCTTCCGTGAGAATGTTCAGTAACGAGGAATCCTCGGATGAGAGAAAGTGTTGTGGCTGACAGCAAGCAAATGCGCGATTCCGAACTGAGAAAGCAAAAATACGGGTAGTGCTCAATGCAAATCACGCGTCTGACAACAATATTCACGATCACGTTGATAGTCCGGCCGAGGCGTTCCATACAGGAGACAGGATGAATATATTCGCGGCTTGTCTCTGTGCAACGGCTACGGAGAAGACCGCACCTATGCAAAAAATATAGTAGTATCGTGTCTATCGATCAGACCGAGCTGATCCAAGAGGGGTAAGCATGAGCACTTAGTAAGCTGCTGTAAGCAGCTGGTTAATGGCTGTTTGAACGCCATAATCACGAAGAAGAGGGCATACACGCGGATAAAGGAGTGATTCGGATAATGAAGTCGCAAGGTTACAATGCCTGTTTTCTTATTCTGTAGCTGCCGGATACCCGGATATCCGAGTTTCGATCCTTTGGCGATCATCATTCCTCGCTCCACGAGAGGAGTCAAAACGTTCGAGAATTCATTGGTAGAATGAAAACGATCTCTCTGTCGCGGATTCCCGTTGTGAACGAGAATTAGATCACTCCTTCGTGGATTGCTCGACTGATTGGTACACTGTGGGTGAGTCAAATGGTTCGGGATTCCTTTCCACATGAAGACGTCTTATCCCGGGCTTAGTAAGCTGGACTGTTCGATGCTTTTCGTCCTCGATGAAATCTCTTATGCTTTGTCGCTGTTCTCGGCCTCATTATTCGGCCCCCTTCGAAGATGGCGATCCCCGGAGTCCAGCATCGGCTAGAAGGTTTCAAGAATTCTTCTCCGGCTGAGAACCGATCACGGCGTGCGACGAGGCGTTCTATAATCTCCGTCTTTTCGCATACACCCGGAATCGGCGCACAATCGGCTCGTTAATGATGCATCCCGGCGATGATTCAAAGCCTTATCCTGGAAACTTCATGTGAGGTATGAGGAGTCAGACGCTGGGGATCCAAATAGCATGCAAAGGTCATCCAGGGCGACGGACGGATTTTTCCACATCTAATTCACTAACACAGGGTAGACGTCGAATATTTCCCGGCCATATTCTTGTAGCGACACTTCAGGATGCTCTTGATGTGGTCGGTGCGGGTTACGTACGAGTAACCCTAACCCCCCCGACCCCCTCTGGATCCGCCGCTGCTCCATGTCGGAAGACTCATTCTGATCTCTCGAGCATCTTGCTGATACCCTCAGATTCTCGAAGTCAGAGTGCGGTTGCCGCCCGAGGGGCAATGCGAGAAATTGCTCCGCAAGCGGGAACTACTTCATCCCTTTCCTGACGAATACACCGCTTCTCAGTCTCAGATTGCTGAGCGAGGCAAGGTTGGCACACGCAGATGTACCAAGTCCCAGGTGGGTCCACGAATACGGCGGACCCTTGCTCGACGCCCCAACATCATTCCGCTACGGCATCAATCGCCCTTGCTCTATAAAGGTGAACTAATGCATCCATCCACATAAGCAGACTTTCATCAGTGGCGTTTCGCTTTTCGCGGTCAACTGCATTTCTCCGCGTTTCAGAGCACTCGTCAGCCGCGGAGATTAGTGGTTGAACTTGGTTCTGAAACCGCAGCCCGTGAACACTGCGAAGCCCGCTTGCCGCGAGGGATTCTGAATGAGACCGTGGCTCGGCACATCGACTCCGCTCTCGTAGCTGTCACTGGAGGAGCACAATGAGCAGGCAGGTCTCACGGATCACGGACCAAATATCTAGATAGTAGGCAGGGTAGAGAGCCCCGGAGAATCAGGGATGAGGTTGGAAAGGGTAAGACGAGCAGGATGGGAATCGTATCTCTGGAACCTGATGTGAGAAAATGAGCGGGGGAGTGATGATGAGTGATGGAAATACCGAAAAAGAATGCTTGGCACTCCGCGCAATTGTTTCGCGCGCGAGAGCGTAGGACTGCTCGCTCTCAAGGAGAATTATCCGGAATATTTTCCGATGAGAATCGACCTCGGTGAAAGAATCCTGAACATGTCTTGGTCCAGAAAAGTAATGTTTCATGAGGTGAGGAGTTCTGGAGCCTGCTCTCAAAGAACTCCCGGGCAGGCCTCTTGCGGCAGCGCCGTGGGGTCGAGAGATAGAAGGGCAGTAATCCGACCAACGATTCGATTCCAGCTCACCTCTACACCGCCACTTCGCATCATCCCGAGAAATTGGTAGAAAATTACGCACAGCTATCGACGGGTCTCGAGGACGCGATAGAATCTCGAGTGTTCTGCGCCGCCCCAAGTAATTCCTGTCCGAGTCGGCTTCGACCCGGTCTCTGTGCTGGGTTCAGAGATGCCTGCCTGAGCAATCGCATCGGTGTTGTACATATTTATCATTGCTATTCGTTTCCCAGGAAGGAGCCGAAGTTGGAGTCTAATGCTAGAGAGATGACGCGGCTCACTCCAGAAATCGAGCAACCATTCAGGTGAGTCGAGACCTTAGTCCGCTCCTACACTGTCGAGGATACCTGACCGCGGCCGTGGCTGAGGAGACTGAATCATTGAGCCGTTCAAGCGGACCCGGAGACGTTAATTTTAATCGCTCATCATGCTATCTCGGGATTATCCGCGTCTGGGCCGAGCAGTAATGATCGGGGGTCAGGCTCGGCCTAACTTTATCCTCGGTTCCCGTGTCACCCTCTTCAGCGGGGCATCAAATACGACTAAAATACTCCCATGAACTTTCCAGGAGGGCGAGAGAGCCTCCCTGACTGAGCGTTTCTGACTTGAGCTGAGCAAGTCAAAAGCTCCGGAGTTCACCCCATGTAACCTCTCATGTTCCACGAGATGTCAGCTCTTCTTTCTCCGAGAATGCCTGCTCCGTCGAGGATGAGAACGGGATCAGGTTCTGCAAAAAAAGGCTCTTCCTGAGAACCGCAGTTCTTGTCTGCATGTGGTTCACCATAGATGCCCATGTTGAGCGGGAGCCCTAAATTATTGCATTTCAAGTGGCTCTTCGGAAAGCCCAGTCCCGACAAAATCCGAATGAGAGCTGGAATTCCTCGTGCGATTCCGAAGTCCTCATCGTGTTGAGCATCTCGGACTCCCAATCTAAGCCCTGATCAAATTTTGCGTGATCCGCGTTAGTAGGAGTCTCCGGGTGCGAAATTACTGCGGCGTAAATGCTCTTCATACCTGTCGATATCATATCAGCAATATTTCTACGTGGAAATTGGACAGATGAACTGTTCCAGTGAGCTCTCCTTCAGCTAGTCCCCAGCTCAAACCCCGAATTCATCTCGGGCTGCTACCGTAAGCAGCTTTTCGAAACGGGAACGGTGCACAATGCTCGGCGACCGAGCCTCGTTGCCGGAGACGACGCGACGGTATACGTCCTGCGGTATCTCGAATCTCTGGACTCTTTCAGCAACATGGTCGGATGGGACAGCCAGTGGCGTAGCGTGCCTCGATGATGCCCGGGGCGGATTCCTGAAATCCCGTGCCGGGACATATGCGGGTATGATGCCCCCCTCAGATTTTTTTCGAAACCCAAATCTGTCATTCCACAATCTGGATACCGATGGAAGTCAATTAATTATTGGTCTTCATTCATTATTCATTACGACCTGATCGTTATCGCCCATCAGCCCCGACGCTTGATGTAATCCCATGCGCCCCCTATTATGCGAATAATACTCCCAGTGCTCTGACTTTGGCTCTATACGCCAGGGACGGAGTTCCGAGCATGGGAGCA